TGGTGGATCCCTATAACCATTTCATGAAAAAAAAGCTTATTTGAGAACCACTGTTTTAAGCAATGCATTTTTTGAAAGTGTCATTACATTTTGAATTGCACATTGTAGCAAAACCCTCCTCCTCTTGAGTGAGATGTGAATTAATTTTATTGGTGGATCCCTATAACCATTTCATGAAAAAAACTTATTTGAGAACCACTGTTTTAAGCAAATGCATTTTTGAATTTTTTAGCAAAGAGTGAGATGTGAATTAATTTTATTGGTGGATCATTACATTTTGAATTGAACCACTGTTTTAAGCAATGCATTTTTTGAAAGTGTCATTACATTTTGAATTGCACATTGTCCACCTCCTTGAGTGAGATGTGAATTAATTTTATTGGTGGATCCCTATAACCATTTCATGAAAAAAGCTTATTTGAGAACCACTGTTTTAAGCAATGCATTTTTTGAAAGTGTCATTACATTTTGAATTGCACATTGTAGCAAAAAACTCCTCTTCTTGAGTGAGATATGAATTAATTTTATTGGTGGATCCCTATAACCATTTCATGAAAAAAAGCTTATTTGAGAACCACTGTTTTTAAGCAATGTCATTTTTTGAAAGTGTCATTACATTTTGAATTGCACATTGTAGCAAATGCACCCTCCTTTTTGAGTGAGATATGAATTAATTTTATTGGTGGATCCCTATAACCATTTCATGAAAAAAAGCTTATTTGAGAACCACTGTTTTAAGCAATGCATTTTTTGAAAGTGTCATTACATTTTGAATTGCACATTGTAGCAAAGTAATACCCTCCTCCTCTTGAGTGAGATGTGAATTAATTTTATTGGTGATCCCTATAACCATTTTCATGAAAAAAGCTTATTTGAGAACCACTGTTTTAAGCAATGCATTTTTTGAAAGTGTCATTACATTTTGAATTGCACATTGTAGCAAAGCACCTCCTCCTCTTGAGTGAGAGATGAATTAATTTTATTGGTGGATCCCTATAACCATTTCATGAAAAAAACTTATTTGAGAACCACTGTTTTAAGCAATGCATTTTTTGAAAGTGTCATTACATTTTGAATTGCACATTGTAGCAAAAGCACCCTCCTCCTCTTGAGTGAGATGTGAATTAATTTTATTGGTGGATCCCTATAACCATTTCATGAAAAAAGCTTATTTGAGAACCACTGTTTTAAGCAATGCATTTTTTTTGAAAGTGTCATTACATTTTGAATTGCACATTGTAGCAAAGCACCCTCCTCCTCTTGAGTGAGATGTGAATTAATTTTATTGGTGGATCCCTATAACCATTTCATGAAAAAAAGCTTATTTGAGAACCACTGTTTTAAGCAATGCATTTTTTGAAAGTGTCATTACATTTTGAATTGCACATTGTAAAAAAAGCACCCTCCTCCTCTTGAGTGAGATATGAATTAATTTTATTGGTGGATCCCTTATTTGAGAACCATTTCATGCAAAAAAAGTGTCATTTATTTGAAGAACCACTGTTTTTAAGCAATGCATTTTTTGTGGTGTTTTTACATTTGAGAACCACTGTTTTGCAACATTTTTGAAAGTGTCATTACATTTTGAATTGCACATTGTAGCAAAGCACCCTCCTCCTCTTGAGTGAGATGTGAATTAATTTTATTGGTGGATCCCTATAACCATTTCATGAAAAAAAGCTTATTTGAGAACCACTGTTTTAAGCAATGCATTTTTTTGAAAGTGTCATTACATTTTGAATTGCACATTGGGAATAGCCTCCTCCTCTTGAGTTTGATTAATCCTCACTGATCTACTCACGCGTTCAGTTGCGGCTTATTGCCAACTGAGTAACACCATGGGAGAGTGTCTGTTCACGCATGTGCGGTAAGTTTCCCTCAGTCTGCCCCGGGGCGACACAATTAATTCTCCAGATGTGCAAATGACAAAATAATTTCTGGATAGATCCTATATATTAAAAAAGAGAAAAGAAAAGAAAAGAGGTGGGGGGGATAAAGATAGTTTATATCACCTTATACATAGTTTATTTAATTGTATAACGTATAGTTTATTTAATTGTATAACGTATGACCAATGGGATAGAAGGTTAGTCAGTTGCAGACTTTTCACCTAATAAAAACAGGAATGTACGCCTTTCAAAGTATGCTGATAAAAAATGATTTAAATTTGTATAAATTACAAATCTGGATTTTGCCTTCAAAAGACATTTCGGAAAAAAAAATAGTGGCCCATCTTACTAAATCATATTGTCGGGTTTCCTAAATATATGTGGACAGCTTTAATAATGCCGGCCGTATATACACAGATACTTACCTAATCATTAAAAACAAAGCAATAAAATCCTTATCTTTGTTGGTATTATAAAAACGTTTCAACAGTTGCGCCTTCTGGTTTTCTTCAGGAGTCTGTTAATGCCGATAACCTTCGGATAATTTCGATCTGAATTTATTTAATCTACAGGGCATGTCTGCTCTCGTTCCATTGTCTATCTACCCCTAT